GCCCAAACACCTGTCGATATCCAGAGACGTAAGGATTGTCGGGCGAATCAAGCTCGCTACAGAAACAAGCAAGTTCTGTACACGAATGACCTCGACATCACCGTGAAGCAACTCCAGGACGAAATTATGTTGCTTGAAAAAATACAGTACAGACGACTCATTTCGGTATCCTTTCGGTACCCACACGTCCAGTGTATAAGTAAGTCGAATACCAAGCATTCAGCTAAACAAAGTGGGAGCTGACTCACGGAGCTGGACAGCACGAAATACATGTTGCAAGACGAACCGGTCGGCAAGAACACCACGACGCAGCACACTCTGAACAGAGAGGTTTCGTAGCCACCCGACAGCTCACGAGGGAGATACGTAGCCTCACCAGCGCAGAACAGCGAGCACGAGCTCGCTTGCATCCCTTTTATTTCATTCTACAATATACCATCTCCTACTCAAGTAATCTCCCCTTCTGCTATCCAACGATACCCTGCAGCAAGACCGTGCAACAAGGCAATATCCGGAAGAAATGAGGACGACGTTGCTTGTAGAGCACTTGACGAGCCGCAATGAACGTCGGAGTCTGAGCTTGCAACCTCAAAACCACATACATGTCCACATGGAAGATAAGACCCACCCATCGAGCTGATAATATAAATTCCGACCAAAATTTGCCGCTATCAGTATTAAAAAAAAACCAGATCGTCCGTCGATCGGACTTAAGTGGGTTATTACTCAAGGCTACCGTTTTGCCTGGGTACATGTATTATACTAATATCATTTAGTGTTCCTGGGTGCATGATGAGATGAACGCATGACGCGTGCAGATGGTGAGCGGCGTGATCGAGCTCATAAGAATGAATAGAGCACAGTAATCATTCTGCAGTGCTCGCATTCGCATTGCAAACAGGGAACCGCCTCTCCCGGTCCAAATCGGCGAGATTGAATATTAGTGGTAACCGAGCCACGAAATGTGGTGCAAATGGTCTCACTTCCTGATCGGCTATGACGACTCCAGAGACGTCATTCCTGGTCGAAATTGATCAATTTTTAGCTTCCTGCGACGTACTTACACCGATATCAGCGTCGGACGGTGGTGACAACGACAACAATACGAATACATCGTCGAAGCGCACCAATTTACAAACCTCTGGGTGATTAGTACGTATTGCGCCTCGATTGGGTAGGCCCCGCGGCAAAACGTTGACGATACAGGATTGTGATGATGCTGTTATTGATATGACGCGAAAGCTGGAGAAGGTAAAGGACCGTAACAAAAGAAGGCACTATCGAGAGCAACGTCGCAACGAGCGAGCGAGTCTTCAGCGTGAGATTGAACAACTTACAGGAAAACTAAAACGGAGCCAGCGACACGATAGCCTTTTTACTTCAGTATGGAAGACGCTTTCAGAGCACCAACTCGCTGCAAGGATGGCTGCTGAGGATGAGCAAAGACGACTGCGTAAAGCTATTGATATCCAGTCGGCCCTTCTACAGGAATTTCATGAGCTGATGAACCAACGAGTCACCAACTCTTACAATACACCGTCCGCAGGGTCATACAACAACAAGAGAGTTGCGGAGAGCTCGACGATGATGCCATCTTCTCCGCCTGTCTTGACGAGCTGAATGGTGTCTACGCTGAGACTGACGCGATCTTACGCATGAGAGGGCTGGACGCTACAGCGGCAAACTGGGACGATCCAAAAGATACTTGGACGAGAGATCTCGACAGAGGATGCTTTGAATACGAAGGCAAGATAACACAGCCATTCGCCTATCGAGACTATTGTCAGATACGGTGGCATGCGCCACCTTTGCCTCATCGCCAGGAATGTCGACAGCACTATCAGCTCTTAAATGATTCAAGGAACACGATGGCCTCGAAGTTTCGCATTACAACTCGACTAAGTTCAGGCGAGTATGCTTCCGTTATGCAGCGCATGGTTATTCTTCGACACGAAAAAGAGGAACGTCTGGCTCTCGTCTGGCTGTTGTTTACCGAGGGGGAAGGATCATTGAGTGGCATACACGCACAAGAAACTGGGTGGACTGTTGCTACGCCCACAACAAGTGAAGACAAGACTGGTACCGTGATGACAACTTGCGTTAAGAATGTACCGATGTACCTCGGCGATATTGCAGCGCGGAAGCTAGAAGTAAAAGAGTTCGAGGACAAGCTGTTTAATTGGGGGTCTGAAAATCACATTGAGGTTATCAATGGGCTGAAGAGTCTAACGCTCACGAAGATTGATAAACTAGTTAAGTAGTTCTCTTTCGAAAATCATAAAAAAAAAGTCTCGTACAAAGGCAATATACCTCCTAACGAGAAACAAACAAGATTCATTAATGAGGCATCGTCGACAAAAATAAGAGTGCTCCAACAAACAGTTTTACGTATTTTGTATTATTGCTGCACTCTACTCTTATTTACATGCGCGGTTCTTTGATCGTACGCGCACGCTGTAGACTTCGCATTAGGATATATTTTGTCCTCCCAAAATCCATTTAAGTACGACGGAGCTTGTTCTAGAATAGGACAAAAAATGACATTAGGAGGTACTGCGCTTCAGCTTAAGTACGCATATCTGAAATAACAGATTTTCCATTAAAAAAAGTTCACAAGATTTTATATCCAGAGTTCTAGGAGGCGAGTCATTCTGACCCAAAACTACTGTAGCTTCTTATACTCAGATCCAAAACTAGCGTTTTCGGCACAAAACTTATATACATTTACTTCAGCAGTTGATATTAATACGCCTGTTACATGTATATAAGATACATTGGATTGTCATACCCAAAATAGTGGGTTTCTTTTCTAAGCGTGCATAACCTGTCCGTTCAGCTTGTATTAGAAACATTATCCTTACTTTAATCAAAAAGAACGGTAATGCATAAGTGAGTATCCTTTATAGTAAGTGATGTCATCCAGGTGAATGTTGCTTGTGGCGGCCAAGGGTAGCATCACTGTAATTTACGACTAACCGTTGTAATTTAATCCGCTTCAGCATTCATGCAGGCCGCAGCATACCGTACAGTACTGCACCCCGTTTTCGCGGGGGTGGATCATATAGGAATTAAAAATAAATTAGAGTTTAGCATACAAACAATAATTCATTTGGTTTCTAAATCATCACATTCGGAAGTTTATCAAAGGTCCAAGGTCGCGAAAACGGGGTGCAGTACTGTACCGCCAATACCTCTCTTATGATCGCCGTGCGACTGAACGACGGCTTTGTCGATTATAGCATGAACACTTCATTTGTCAGTAGACAACTCAGGCTAAATTGTGAGTAGATCCAGGGGACTGGGCCTCTGAGTTTTGGTCAGCCCCCCCCCCTTCGTGTTTTGAACCCCCGTTGCGATTAATAGACAGACATCCAAGTGAAAATCGCAGTACACGAAAAACATGCCTAGCATGGCTTTTAATTGTGCGACCATTTCGCATTTTTTCGACTATCGATACCGCCTCATTCTTTTTGGAAGCTCACATCTGATCTGACTCCTTCCACTTTAATAATGTGAGCATCTTCCATTGCGTTCACTTGTCACTAACTAACTGGACTACTTAGAACCATGTTCAACTTGAATAGCTTCAAGCTCACATTGCTCAGTTACAAAAACACTACACGGGCAAAATCTACGCACCATACTATTTCTGCCTCCTATCCACGTAGACGGCGCGTGGGGGCGGCCTCAAGCATCTTAGTGCAGTAACTCTGGGCGTACGAGTTCTTGGGATTCTGGCACAGTGACTCCAGATCGCTCTTGGTCTCCACGCTCGTCGTTGCAGCGGTCAGCTCTATAATGGCAGTATCTAGCTTCGCCACTGCAGCCGGCGCGTCAGCCAGTCGACGGGAGCTGGAACTCGTAGGCAGAGCATACAACAAAGCCGCGTGTCCCTCGTACAGATCCAGCACCTGTGTGTGCAGTGTAATACCAACGACAGCGAGGTGGTCAAGGCGGTTCAACTGCGGCATCTTGTTCCATTTGCCGAGTTGAGACGCCCCAGCGAACGTGACAGCGGCCCCCACTCCATCCGAACCCATTGAAATCGCGGGCACGACGCCGTCATTGGGCTGCCAGTCAGCCGAAAGCTTGAGCCTATCGGGTGCATACCGTCCACCTATGAAGACAGCGAGAGGGTCCAATGGGAGCAGCATAGTCAGTAGATTAGGCAGCGAGATCTTGCGTAATAGCAAGTCCCGTGTGTTGAACGTGTCGACTGTGACGTAGCTATAGTAGTACACGTCACTGAGGGTCTTGACCCACGTCGCTTCCTCCTTGGCACCACCGGTGGATAAACTCCACAGACACACGTCTTTGAAGCTTGGATCGAAGATCTTGCTTGCGAACACGCGCTCGAGGTACGTTGGAACGGATTCGCCTGACCTTTTGGGGGTAATTCCCCATTGATCCAGCTTGGCATCATAAATCATTTTGGTGCTGTCTCCGAGGATACCGACGACACTTAGTACACCAGCTAATAGATCCTTGACCGAGTCTCCGATAACCGAGAAGCCGTCACCCAAGGTGGTACCTTGGTTCGGTGCCGAAATGGTCGTGATGGAGTGTACCCACTTCTTACCTCCCTTGAACAATTCGTGGGACGTCGGGTCTTCCTCGATCGGAGCGCCCGTCGTGCCGTGTGCCAAGAGCTGAGCGAGCATTCGGACGGTCTGGCCTCCCGTACTGTGTCCTACGAATGTACCTTATTGACGGAGCCATCCGCGTTGGCTGTCCCCCACTGCGGATATAGCCCCGTGTAGTTGCGTCCATAGCGAAGATGGTTGTGCGTGGCCGAGTGTTTCTGGCCGTAGTCTACTCGACCGCCTTTGATGATCGTGTAGAGCTCGCAGGCACGGTCCCAGTTACTGGCGAACGGACCAACCGCAGCGGTGTAGACAGTGTAGCCTTGCGCAGTTAGTTCATTCTGGAAATCGCCTTGGATGCCGCCCCAGTATCGGAAGCCTAGCATTTCGTCACGCCCCCACCCGGTGAAACCGTTGACCAGGATGATCGGGTATTTGTTGGCAGCTTGTGTACGCGAGGGCGACAGCACCACGGCCAATGTCAATAGTGCGAGACGTAGCAGCGTCGACATCTTTGAACTTAATTGAGGTGTGATGAACGAGGCGAGTTACGAAGTGAGTTGTGCACAGCTCGGACAGCGCCAACCGGGATGTGGTGATGAAGATAATTCAAGTTTCGGGTTGCACTTGAGCGTCGTCATGGAGCATGGCGGCAGTACATGTATCGGACATTGCTACTGTACATGTATGGCTAAGGAGGCCACTGCTCTGACACAGTGCAACGCCGGTCACAGCTGTTGGCATACATGCATACACTGGCAGTGAAAGTTTCACTGTTTCACTGAAACGGTGCTGACAGCGTTGAACTGGAGCTGCAACGTGCACTGAATGGTGCAGCCATCGAATGCCAATCATCAATGAAAAACAGACTGGGACACAGTGCCACTGTTATCCACGGAGTGGCCAAAATCTGTCAGCAAGTTGCTGACAGCAACATGCAAAAGTGCGCTCGAACCTAACTAAGATACAACCATGGCGAATACATGTACCTGTAGGAAGCGCGCACATGACTCGTATCTCTCAACCCGCTTGTTGAAGCTAGCTACATGTATTCCGCTACAAGTATGCACGTCGGTTTCAAAGCGGCGCCGAACGTGAAGCGCAGAGCCTATTAAGAGCGTACTTACACGAGTGCATGTCGCGACGGTGATCTGGCTAACATTAAGTTCACAAGTCGTACCTTTTCATGAACTGCTTTTCAGTTGTCCGTAGTAAACAAAAGAAGTACAGCAAAAAAAATTAAATTACATGTACTACTGTAAGCTCACACAAACTACAGACAAAATTGCAAAAACACCGTATGAACGGTGCGCAACACGCTCAAACGCACAATAGCACCTTTCGGGGCGGGGCGACGCAGCTATGGCGCCAACTAAGGCGAGCGGGTGCGAGGTCGCGTAGCCGCAGCAAATCCACGCGGGGAGCCCGCGAAGCTGGACCGCTCGGAATTTGCGGAGGCGGGCCCAGCGCCGAGCTCACCAGCGAGCCGCGCATTGCACTTCCCAGGTGAGAGAATCTATTAATCGCGAGCGAAGCGAGCCCCAGCCAAGCGAAGCGCGGCTGGTAACGACCTCTTACATTATATAATGCCTTTCCACAGGAGAGCCGGGCCCGGCTGCTCTGACAAATGCCAAGTTAAAACAAAGCTTACGTGTTTTGGATGCGTTGTCCAAACTACATGTAAGTCGCCTCACATTTCGAGTTTCCAAAGTGCTTCCGGACTGATAATCAGTCCGGAAGCACTTTGGAAACTAAGGAAGGCATTCAGTCTGGATGCCTTCCCCAAGTCCACGAAATCTCGATCCACAGAGTACGCCCGCACGGTTTCGCTACTTCCCGACCGATTGGTCCTTTCGTCAACCTTATTTCCAGCACGTTCAACACTTCGAGAGCCTGCACATTTCTGTCGATAAAGTCGTGCCGTATCCACTACGAAGCCCGCAAAGACTACAGTGAGCTGAGCTCAGTGAGCTCTGAGAGCTCACGACGCACAGGCGCAAGCGTGGCCAACTTGAAAGAACTTTTGCATGAGGTGGATAACGGGTGTGGCGTCAGCTTCTGCGAGTCCACACTGCCCATGCCCAGTTCGCTAGAGTCAGAGGGCTGGGCAGTTGCCTCTCGGAGCTGACTGATGACGTTGCATGCGTATAATACGTCGTTGGCTTTGTCTTCTGCAAGGATATTGAGGTCTCGCAAGCGAGCGAATGTGGCCGAAGTGTTCGCAAGTGAAACATCGGCGTTATTCGACGTCGTTTTTGCTCCAAGGAACAAAGTTTCAATTAAGTTAGGCATTTCTGCTGCGGCAGACGTTGCAGAAGCTTCGCCGCTCTTGCGTTTCCTCTTCCTTGTCGAGCTCTCATGGCCTTTTCCAGCTCTTTGAAGCGCTGCTCCGCGTTGGATAAACGCAGTTCGCTTACGATGTGCGGGACGTTGACTGTTTCTATACGCTACCGAGCTCTTGTCCGTAGCTTCCACTTGCTGAGTACTTGCCGCCTCTCTCGATACCTCACGTGGCCACGATTGCTCCGTTCTCACCGCCCGCACAGCCTCCCCATTGCCATCTCGTATCGTCAAGTCTACTCCAAATGAACAGAGGTTCTCGTACAAGTCGCGATGTCCATTCTTGAGAGCCAGAGGAGCGATTGTCTCCTTCGTGTGGAGCGTTGGCGTGTTCAAGTCCACTAAGTTATCTGCAGCTAGAATTATCATCACAACGTCAGCGTATCCTTTCATCACCGCAGCCATAGTGTTCGGTAGACATTCTCTAAAACACACTAGATCTTTTTTTTCGTGGGCTCTTCTCGACAATGAGGCATTGTCTGGAGCACGAGAGCTCCGAGATTCGACAAAGTCCGGGTCGTGCGCTGAGCCTGCTGCGGCTTGATGCAGCAGCGTACAAAGGGCATCTCAGTTGTCTTATGTTCGAGGTGTGCTCCTCCCAAGAAGCTGAGGATCTTTCCTAAGCTCTGACTTGAGATAGTTGACATCGTCTTCATTTAGATGTCCAGAACTGGTCTCCAACTGCCGCATCAGATTCGCGATGGATCAGAATGCGTCACACAACTCTAAGAACACCTTGACAATGTCGTAACTGAGCTCCAACATATCGGGAGAGAACACGCGTCTTGAATTAATCGGTCACGCAAGCACTGCCCGATGTATACAAGGTATACATCAAACGAGGTATACTATGTAGGCAGCAGTGTCAGGAGGCTCCACGTGCTCGAAACTTCACGCAAGTTAAGCTTATTTAAGTCTCCACACTGATACGTGTGGTCATAGACTCCATGAACTGTAGCAAAGCGCGACGGTGTTAGGAAAACTGCGTCGTAAACCTCCAACATTTTCTCGAAAAACGGGATCCACTCGAGATATTCCCCTGATACGAGAGCATTGTACACATGTCCGAACGCTCGACAGATAGTCGCAATCTCCTCCCCCGTACGAAGGGATTCAAGGTGAATATCCAGCACCTTAAAAACTGCTGGCACTTGATTAAACCTGCCAATAATACGAGCTCGATCGCGTGACATATCGGTCTTAAGGGAGGGCAAAACTGAAGTTCTCGTCGCCATTTCCTCCTTGCGCTCTGACACATTTCATGCGTTCGACGTAGCGACTCAGTCCTCCATCTCCTAGGAGCGCAAGCACCGACTTGATCCAGCACGTACACGCAAATACCAACGGGATTGAAGCTCGACGGGAAGTGAAAAAGTCATCCAGCAGGCCTAGAAGCGAGCCCTTCCAAACTTGATCGATCGAATTGTACACCATCCTCCTTCTCCTTTTCCCTAATCGTGTCGTAAACCAACGGCAGTTGCTGCATCAAGAACGCAGAAACGTTAAGTGGATCTGACAACGTGTACGTTGGCGTGTGTTCTTCTCTGTATCTTACCACCTCAAAATGATCTGGAAGCTGCCCAGCGGCTCGAAAGGCCAGGGTTTGTATTGTAGCACTTTCAGGAATGCGGGAAGAGTAGAAGACGAGAAGCGTTGTTTGAAAGGTAAATCTGAAAGTGAATTGAAAGTTAGCACACTCCTAGTTAGCTTCTCACTACGACTAACCTACGAGCCTTGCTTCATACGCAGGTGCTGGTGTCATCGGAAGCCGTTTGTCGTCGCATGTGATGGCACCAGTCACAAAATATTCATGCAAGCTTATCCTCATGGCCGACGAGCAACTCAGCCCTTCGTTTGGGCTGGCACTTAAATCAGTCATCCCACTTTGGGCATTCCACCTCCTTGATCTCCATCGGCTTCTCCGTTGGAGCTGCTGTTGCCACAACCTCGTCACCCAAAGTCCATGGCGAAATCTCGGATATCCAATAGCCTCCCTCGAGAGCTACGCCGTTGGGGCAACACGAAGCCGCAGCCGTAGCCGCTCGAAAAGCACGCGTTGCAGTGGCTTGGTGAAGATGTCGGCAAGTTGCTCTTGCGTGGGGCAATACTTTACTACCACGTTACCCTTCGCGATAGCATCACGAATGAAGTGAAACTTGATGTTGATGTGCTTGCTCCGCTGTGTGGCCATCTCGTTCTCCATAACCTTGATGGCTGACTGATTGTCCACGAGCAGGAGAGCCGCTTGGTTCTGTGTCCACAGCCCAAGCTCAACCATCAGCTGCTTGATCCAGATGCAGTCTTTCACTGCCATCGCAGCCGCTACATACTCTGCCTCCATGGTTGAGAGTGCGACCGAGTTCTGCTTTTTTGAGTGCCACTCGATCGGCATGCCGTTTAGCATCACTACCGCACCGAAGACAGATTTGGCGTCTCGGTTGTCGCCGGCCCAATCAGCATCGGCGAAGATTGTAGTCTGGAACGTCGTCGCCGCGTTAGTATCAGACTGAAAGAACAGACCGTAGTCCATGGTGCCACGCAGGTAGCGCAGGATGCGCTTAACACCAACCCAATGTCCTTCACAAGGTCGTGCCACGAAGCGCGCGAAGTAGTTCACAGCCGTCGTGATGTCTGGACGGGTGCAGTTCGAGATCCACAACAGTGAACCCACAGCCTTGCGCATGATGCTGCTGCGCTCCATGATGACGTTGTCGTCGCACTGGCGCATGGTGTCCATGGGGGTTGCCATCTCCATGTCGGTGAGCAGTTGCTGAATTGAATCGCGTTGGTGGAGAATAAATCCATCAGCGCGACGAACAATGCTGATACCCAGGCACTTGTCCGCTTCTCCAAGATCCCTGATGTCGAAACGCTTGTTCAACTTGCTCATGACCCAGTCGCTGTCCTCGTCACTTTCACTGGTGACGAGAACGTCATCCACGTACAGACCAAGCAGCGAAAGCTTGCCCTTATGATGGCGAAAGTACAGACAGGGATCCAATTTGCTGCGCACATAGCCGATAGACAATAAGTATGCGTTAATGGCTTTGTTCCATAGCAGACCACTCTGCTTGAGTCCGTATAGGCTTTTGAGCAGAAGCCACACTTTGCCTTCGTCGCCACTGCCTTCAGGAGGGCGCATGCAGAGCTGTCGATCAAGTTCGGTCTTCACATAGGCATTTGGAACGTCTCCTAGCTTCAGCCGACGTTGCAACTGTGCAGCCACAGCGATCATGAATCGCACGCTCGAAAACTTTAGTACGGAAGAATACGTCTCGACGAAGTCAATACCGAAGCGCTGCGTGAAGCCTCTCGCAACTAACCGAGCTTTAAAGCGCTCGAGCTCTCCCCGACTATTGAACTTGATACGGAAAACCCATTTAGACGAGATCAGCTTTTCACGAGGAGGTCTTTCCACCACTTCCCAAGTTCCATTGGCCTTCAAGTCAGCGAGCTCCTTCTCGATGGCGGCTTTCCACGCTGGCCACTCAGGGGCCGCCTCGCCTCGGCAACGTAACGTGGGGTTGCTGGCTTGGCGGTCGTCAGCAAGAGAGTAGCATAGCCGGCAAACTCACTGATTAGATCCTGACTTAGATCAACGTCATCCTTCTTCAGCTTCTTGCGAGATCCGAACACACGTCGAAGCACTCCAGCGCTGATGGGCCTTCCTGAGTCCTCGTTCTCTTCGTTGGAGCTTTCTCCAGGGTCATCGCTGGGTGTTTCACGCCGCTTACGAGCCGATCGAGTCTCCACATTGAGTGTTGCAGCTGATGGCGCCACAGTCGATTGCTGTGGCTGATCATTGATTGAATCATTCTCACCATGTAACTTCGCAAGCACCTCCTTGGCTTCAGGGTCGTTGACGTCCATCTTCTCAATATTTTGTACGTCGGCGCTCACGACAATCTTCTTCGTCCGCGGGATAAGCAGTTTGTATCCCTTTTGATTGTTACTGATGCCGATAATCACTGTCTTCTCGGCACGGCGCTTGACAGATGCAGCTTTCTTGTGTGCAATGTGAGTTGTGCACCAGGAACCAACCGCAAAATGTGCCCCACCTTGGACGCGTTTCCGGTCAGGACATGTAACGGTGCCTTGTGATCTGCATTGGCACTAGTTGGCACATGGTTGCGCACATACGAGGCAAATAGCACTGCATCGCCCCAGAGCGTTCGGGAAGTGTCGACGTCCATAGCATAGCACGCGCAGAATTCATTAACGTTCGGTGCATGCGCTCGACTTTGCCGTTAGATGACGAGTTGTCTGGAAGAGTGAGTTGCTGTCGTATACCACGATTCTCGCAGAACTCCACAAATCCACGACCACGAAATTGGCCGCCACCGTCGCTGCGAATCATCTTCACTGTGACCCCGAACTGTCTCTCGAACTCAGCAATGAATTCCTCAAGATGCTTGGCAGCTTCATTCTTGGTATACAGCAGGTACACACGATTGTAGCTTGAGCCATGGTCTACGATCGTCAGTATGTGCTTGTGTCCCTGTCGGTCTTGCTTGATGTCGGTCTTCAAGTCGACAGCAAGTACAGCACCTATTTCATCAGTTAGTGCTGATGTCGAAGTATCGTTGGTTGGCTGCTTTGATTTGGTCTGCTTAGCTTCAGCACAGGGTAGACAGAACTTGAGCTTCTTGGACAGCACCTTCATGTCACTAGTCAGACCGTGTGTGTGCATCTTGAGCAGGTCCTGGAAGTTGATGTGTCCCAACCTGTTGTGCCAGTGCTGAAGTGTAGCGCTCGACACATCAGCGAACATTGCTACAGTGTTTGTGTAAGGCTCCACCATTTCGCCGTCCAACTTCCACAATTTACCACGGCGATTTGCTGCAGCAATGGTCCTCCCATTGCGGTCCTTTAGCTCGCAGATTTTGCTTGAGTTAAACTGGCACGAGATACCGTGATCAGCGAGCTCCGTGACCGATAGCAGGTTTTGGTGTAGCTTTGGAACACAGTGAACTTCGCGGAGTAGCACAACCTTGTTAGTACGGCCGTCACTCACACGATTCAGGCAGCTGCCCTTCATACTAGCCATCACTACTTCACCATTGGCAACTGTGATGGTCATCGTTGATGGCACCGCTCCAATCAGGACATCCTCTCGAGAGCACATGTGATGAGAGGCATCTGAATCGACAATCCAGGTAGACGTCCTCTTTGCTGGGTCGTCGATACCTGCTGCAGCCATCCACATGCTGGTTTGGCCATCGCCGTCATCGCTGGTGAAGCTCGAGTAATCCTTGTCGCTGTTGCTGCAGTGCGACATGGCCTGTTTCGCTTGACCTTCGAGATCGGATTTCGCGGCTGTCTTTGCGGGCTTGGTGCACTCGAACGATCGATGTCCAGGTTCTCTGCAGTTCCAGCAGCCTGTTGTCTTCTTTGAGTTCGTTGCAGTACTTGCAGCATTCGACGCCTTTGCACCGTTCGGCTGCGTGGACTGTTTCAGCTTGTTCTGTTTGTTTTGCTGCTTCTTGTTGCTGTTCAGGTTGTTCTGCTGCTGAGGCGGATTTTGCTTGCTCTGGCCAACACGACGCCCATCACCCTTCAGCCGTTGCAAAAGCTTGACCACCCGGTCCAGCTCATGCATGTATTCCTTGCTGGACTCGTCGATCTTGCTGAGTAGCGTCGACGTCAGTTCTGAAAAAGCGTTCTGGCACACCGTCTCGAGTAGTAGTTGCGTCTGGTCACCTTTCATGAGACGCTCAATGAAATGCAGATATCGTACGTATTGTTGCCAGGTGTCGCCACTGCGTTTCGGAGTGTCGAGTCTCTTCCGTAGTTTATATTGGCTCAAGTGACAACCGAAGGCACCCTTCAAATGCTGTGCCAGCTCATCGTACGTTATATCACGATCGCCTGCGAAGTCGTGATACGATCTGTGTGCATCACCCTCCAGGAAGTTGCCCAGTATTGACGCCTTTAGTGTCGGCGTCCAAGTTGATCTGTTGAGCTGGCTCTCGGTTCTGACCGCACGCTCGAACTCGTTGAGAAAGTCCTCTAGGCCTGCGCCGAGACCCGGATACACCTCAGTTCCCGCGAACTTTCGGCATCGAATGTCCTTTATCTTCGGCGGTTAGGTCGTTGGTACATGCTCACCATCGTGTTGAGTAGCACCGTGCAGCTGATCGTCGTAGTTGCTTGATACGTTGTCGTCTGGCTCATTTCCAAGTTGCTGGGCGACGACGTGGACTTGCTGCGTTGCGGCTTGTCGAGCCGCTTCAAGTTTACGCTCCTTGAGGAGGCGCTGCTGCAGACCAATGAGATCCATTGCGTCTTGAAGCCTCGCTGTCAGTACAGCAACGATGTCTTTATCAGACATGGGCGTGGTCGGTGGCGCTGGCATTGTTGCCTGATCACCAGATGACTCCAAGCCTCTATAGCTCTCAGGAGTACTCATCCCAGCTCGACGCTCACTTCGCGACAGCTGGGGTGGCGTTTTGTGCAGCTCCGAGTGCACATTCGCCAGGTTGCATCGGTGCTCGCGCTCCGCTCGGGCTGCCGAAGGCATCGCTTGTGGACTGCCGAGGTCCGTGAAGTCAAGTCGGCCCCATGTCGACATGACGGTCTTCTATTCGGTCCGCTACGGTTTTGGGCTCAGAACCTGTAGCACTTTCAGGAATGCGGGAAGAGTAGAAGACGAGAAGCGTTGTTTGAAAGGTAAATCTGAAAGTGAATTGAAAGTTAGCACACTCCTAGTTAGCTTCTCACTACGACTAACCTACGAGCCTTGCTTCATACGCAGGTGCTGGTGTCATCGGAAGCCGTTTGTCGTCGCATGTGATGGCACCAGTCACAAAATATTCATGCAAGCTTATCCTCATGGCCGACGAGCAACTCAGCCCTTCGTTTGGGCTGGCACTTAAATCAGTCATCCCACTTTGGGCATTCCACCTCCTTGATCTCCAGCGGCTTCTCCGTTGGAGCTGCTGTTGCCACAACCTCGTCACCCAAAGTCCATGGCGAAATCTCGGATATCCAACATGTATGGCTCGCCCCTTTTGAATTTCTCCTGAAGATCTGTACTGACTTTCCTCGATTTGGTAATTAAATTAGTCGAACAAAGCTTGAGTTGTTCGAAGCTTTGGATGGCGTTGCTGCAACTTACCCGTCAGGCTTTTCGCCAGTTTCACGACTACGGTCAAATAGTAGCTTTTAAACACCCCGCGCACCAATTGTTCCAAGTCCTACACGAAGAGTACTATATCCAGTGCAAGATAGACGTTGAATGCCTCGTCATAGGCTCTTCTTTAAGCTTACTGGAAGGTTGGGTATGTACAGTGAATTACCCTTCGCCAGGACAATATTTGTCTTCTTCTTTTCCCACTCAGCGGCCAAACTGTCGTGATTATTGGCGATTGGCACCATTTGCAGTAGATTGTGCCAGAATCTCAACAACGACGCAGATTAGAAGCGCTGTTGGCCAACAGAGGCGCAGCGTAAGCTTCGCGCAGTCCGATGAAGCTTTGAAAAATCTTGGCAGCTCGTTAAGTAAGGGTGGAAAGGGAAGACGGGTCTTTGGAGATCTGCTGGACGACACTGTTAAGTATCTGCAGCTACAGCACATTGACTGTCGGGTGGAGATGCTCGTGGGCGCGGAACAGCCAGTCCAGAATAAAAGTGGCGGCGCGCACGTAGTGCTCGAGAACGGAGGGTTCGCTATTCTTATAAGTATTTCTAAACGACAGAAATATTGAATTAAAAACACGCTTTGGCCTTGTTCTAAAACCAGTTTTTAAACAAAAAACCATATATTTTCTAAATGACTGAAAAAGTGAAGAAAAAAAGCGCTTACCCTATCTCTAAAATCCTGTTTCCAAGATAATAAAAGGACGAGCTTAGCGTCCAGGTTTCCCAGAACAATAATATTCTCAGAAATCTGATGCGTCATGTATTATCCAGGGATGGTACCAGGTTTAATTCAAATTTCGGAATTAAAGAGAAGAATTAGGTGCAAGCAATTTATGCGAACTGCATAAATTACTTAAATAGGTATTTTCCAGGTAGAAACCTAGGATATTCATATGTGCAAAATATGGGTAAAAGTGGAAATGAGGGCTGGTGAGTTGTGTCGGAGCGACTCTCAGCCAACCAAACGGCAGAGGTGATAGCTTCTCAAAGCGTTAGACATCCTCAACGCATTCATGTTTTCTCCAGGTTGAACCAGGTATTGACCATGTATTGAACTTAGTCAGCAATTCTGCGTATCCCCCTCTCCCGTTGCCTTCTTAATGATCTCGCTCGCCATTGCTTTTAAAACCTTCAGGTTCTTTTTGCCACCCATGTTGTCGTATGGCTTGACTTGTTTAACAGCTTTATCAACCACTAAGCATCTCCAGTGACAACCCCCCCCCCCCCAAAGTTTACGGGTAACAGCACGTACGGATGCAAGGCGACGCCCTCAGCAATGCGCTCTAGCGCTTTGACAGGAAGCGAGCCCATTTTGCTTGAGTTCTGAGGAAGCGTGATCGCTACGTTATTCTTGTAGTGCCTCAAATACACCGCAAAAACTCTCATTGCGTTGTCATTCAACCAAGCCGAACCTCGAAAACAGAAAAGATCTGAATAAGCCAAATCAAACGGCGCTTGATCACTTGTGCCAGCATCTGAAATGGGCACTCGGTCGTGTTTAACTTGTGTGACGTCCGCTTACCCGTCGACCTGTCACGCTCCGACCATCCGAGCAAAATCTTCGAGTCTGGAAGTCCTTGGTACCGAACTTGACTGCAAAGGGGAGCGTTACGACGAGCGATGTTAATCACCTCCTTCACCACGATTTTCTGACGTGTAGCCTCCATGTATTCCTTTAAGCTCACCATTAAAGAGGCCCAGTAATTGTGCTGAGCCTTAAATGCAGGAACTTCAGTCAATACCTCATCCTCGATGTCCGAAACGGTCATTTTCCTTCCTTGACGACGCCGTTCCGAAGGCTCTTCAGCCACTTGAGTCTGTGCGACGTCTTCCTCCGACACACCCGAACTGTCCGAGCCATTCATAGTCTCCTCACCGGCTGTTTCCGCGGCTTTCCCGTCGTCGGCCTGCTCCTCCGTGGTATCCTCGGCGGACTTTCCCTCTTCTCCATCGTCCTCTAAGTCCGCGGTGAAGGGCTGAGATCTCTGCATAGTTTATAATGCTTGAGCCCTCTCAGACCGCGTACGCGCATCATGCACGCGAGCGATGTCTGCCCGTCGAGCTTCCTCGGCTGAGCGCTCCTTCTCCGCCATCGCTGCCTTAATGTGCAGCTGTGCGTACGCGCAATCGTCGCTCCGTCCGGGTCGGAGCGGCCACGTGTCGCGATTCTCTTCCGTCTACTGGTGGCTGAGGGCCAAAAGAAAAAAAAGGGAATTTAGAAGCGATTCATTCTACCTGGGCAATACCTGCTGATATACATGTATAATACATGATGGGGGAAACCGGACGCGAGGGGTGCTCATAATAAAATAACTTCAACAAAATTTGTCCTTAAAATGAGGACGAAATAAGATGCAAGATCGTGAAATTCCGAGTGATTTTGTCCTTAAGACCTCGATTATAAGGACAAAAATCGAGCGCGCCAAGCACAATTGCTATGACAGTTGAGACACCCGACGCCACTTTGTATGGAATTAAAATTATACTGATTAAACTATTCCATTTGACGATTTTTGTCCTTAACATTAGGACAAAACACTATCCGGGAAATCATTCCAGAGACCGTACGGTACAGCAGCTCATGCAATAACGCGTAGGTTTAGCGAAGAGTTGCTAGTACGGTTGTAGAGAGCTAATACAGGGATACATTTCTATATATGCTCACAGGAGCATCTACCAAAACTGAGGCCAAGCAAGGCCATCAACTTTTGGTCCTCATTTTTGTCCTTAATTTCTTTTTGTTGGGGATAAGCTGACTGTTTAAAAACAAAAGGAGTCGACTATTAAATTGTCTAAAAACAGGGTTTAGAAAAACATGTCCCTTTTCAATCTTGTTGAAACACTGTAACTTATTATAAATCTTTTCAGAAAACTGTGATCATTTACCTCGCCAAAGGAAGTTGGTGTAATCGCTTCTGTAGGACGCGTCATGGACAGCGGTGTAGGATGTAGTTGTCCCAGACATCATTCGTTTCAACGTCGGAAGACAAGAGCGCACCATTTTTCTCCGGAACAAGTGAGGGGTCGTTAAGCTTTTGAAAGTATCTGAAGGCTGCATCGATATTCTCCACAGAGACGTGATCGAACCAGTCGTTCTGCTGCAGCTCTGCGGGCACAGCTGGGTATATATTAAGGGTTGGAGATGTGCCCGCAGCTGCCGGGGGCTCGAACGCTTCGGGAGTAGTTGTGGCTGTGAGGTCAGAATAGTTTGCTGAGCGTGAGTTACTTTTCTTTATCGGCGATAATAGCCAGCGATGAGGACGTTTAATCTCTTCTCGGTACTTTTGAGCGTGCGTCATGACTTGACGAGTTGTGCGAGTACCGACAAAATACGCCACATGTTTCCACGGCCCGGATAAAAACATCTTCAGAGCTTGAAGAAATAAATCGTGCTATTCAGCTGTCCATGACTGTCCGTGGCGTGGAGATTTCTCAAGGTCGTAACTTCCCTTTGACGTGGCTTCGTTCGTTATTATTGTTGGCTCCTGGTGGATCTTCTTCTTCATGTTGACGGTGCCAAATGGACGAGTCTGGGGTATCTTGATGTGTATTGCGCTACCATACCTTGGGTCCAATCCCACGAAGAAATGTTCGCTGCGGACACGTCTGGAGAGAGACATTGCGTATGGACACTAAGTAGGGAGTTGATTCTTGGAAAAAGGTAATTCTGGAAGTGAGCTCCGCAACATTGTATCGCACGTGGTGGAACTGTTTCATGCTCTGAATATTATTAAACTTTATTGTGCCATTTCGCTGATTCGCAGCTGACCCGCAACAGCTAAGATTGAGTCAGCGGTAGAAGCGGAGGTGAACGTGAGTTGGTAGGTTAAATTCTATCAAACCACAGAGGACATTACGATAGTCGAACAGCTTTCTGGGATTGTTTTCAGATATTCACGCTACTCATCACTTGACTTGTGACGCGTGGCTCCTGATGACCGACAAACACTAAAACAAAGAGAACATAGCAAGTAATAAGCACTGTTAGTTTATAGCACCTCAAGCAGAGTAGTGAAGGCAAGGTCCGCGACAAACAAGCTCAGGAACGATACACGCTCTCAAAGGGAACACCCTAGACACGCGACACCAAGAGTGAGCGTGCTCTAGTGGCTACCGGACCTTCTGCCCAGCGTAAGGACACTCGTGGTGAGGACATATGCTCCCACTGTGACCGTCCGCGTCACAACATTCGTCAATGTCGCGGCTCAAGCAAGATCTGCAATATGGTCGAGTGAAGCTGGCACTGTCTTGCCTGCCAACTTTGCATTCAAGAACACCGTAACTCGAGAGTATCCCTACCGCGGCTCCAAGAACTGGAAGCAAGAACGACCCAACAGCAGAAGTGGTATTAACCACAGAGACAAAACTGTGGTGGCCGTGGCGAGAAGCACAATCATGCGAATGGTGGAAAGTACCGCTGTCGTGAACAAGGCAACAATCGTCCGTTTCAATCCGACAATGACGACGATGGCGACAATGACTGCGAGAACAGTCGCAAGTTGCTTCATCAAGGCCGTCGCGATGTTAGTTTGATCGCAGTTGCGACGTCGATTAACCCACCAGTGAGCCTCGCAGCCAAAGCCAATGACCCACCAGTGAGCTTTGCGGCCAAAGCCAATATTAAACTGGACCCTACCTGGACCATCGACTCTGTATGTACGCGCCACGTGACACACGAATCCCAGTGGTTCCGTAGCATCTCCACAAGTGGTGGATTGATCACTGTGGAAGGCAACAGCCAGATCCCAATAGAAGGCTTTGGACGAGCTGAACTGGAAGTCACAGACTCTAAAGACAACTCGAAGACGCTCACCCTTCAAGGAGTTCAGTACGCGCCTCTACTGCAGTTCAACCTGCTGTCAGTCCCGGCTGCCGTGAAGCAAGACTACTGCTTCAGCTTTGATCGCAATTAGTGTGCTGTACAGACAGACTAGCGCTTCAAGATCAAGGCGGCAATGGCGACCAACACTGATTTGTATCGGTTTCAGGCTCAACCAGTGGTGACCGCAAAGGCACTTGTGGCCTCGGGTAAGCAACGATCTTTTCTGCTTTTGCACAAACGTCTTGGTCATCCTAACGCTCGCATTCTGCACGAACTATCAAGGAGCCAAGCCATTGCTAGTCTCGATGACTCTGCAGCTGCTGGTCCGTTCAGCTCAGTTCCTCTGTGCTGTATACACGTTAGCGAAGTCACACCGCGCATCATTCTATTCTAATAGAGTAGTTGAACGTGCCACATCTCCCTTGGGAAAAGTGCATTCAGATATCTGTGGTCCATTTCCTGGGACTAGCCTTACTGGGTGCCGATACTTTGTGATCTTTATCGATGACTTCTCCCGATTCATGTTCACCTACCCTATAAAGCACCGTGGCGAGCTATACGAATGCTATGATACCTTCAGGAGGAAAGCCCTAAACATCTACCGACGCAACAGCAATGTACTTCAGCATACGCACAGCATTGAAGACCACGATATTCAACGGTTTCAAGCGGATAATGCGAAGGAATACGAGAAACTTGGCCGAACAATCTTTCAGAAGTATGGTACCCACGCCCAGCTTACGAACGCGTACATACCTCAGCAAAATGGTGTTGCTGAATGACGCATGCGAACTATCATGGAATGGGTACGGGCACTACTGCTGGACAAAAAACTCCCAAAGCAACTCTGGGCGGAATGTGTCTGTCACGTGACCACGCTGATCAACATCACACCTAGCTCCAAGACAGGCCGGATCACAAGAAAGGACACCGTCTGATGGAACTCAACACTCATGCTATTGTCTACAGCAGGGATGTAGTCTTTAAAGAGGATGAATTCCCCTCTCTCGCCAACTTGACGTCCACTTTGGGGCCAACACAGGATACGCAGATGCAACAACCTGCACCTCCACCAGTACCTGAAATTGCAAAGCATGCACCTGCAACGGTCACATCCGTACCGCCTACACCTGCGGAGACCATCAATTAGCGCAGACCTCCATCATTCAGGGAGGCGCTCGATGATAATAAAGTGGTACATATTTCATTAAGAACGGAGACGCGATTTGATCCTCCATCTCCTCCTGCACCTGAGCGGCCCCATCTTATACATGACACGGATGTAACGTTCAATTCTGAAGAAGTTTTACAGGAAAAGGAAGAGCTTTAACAATTACTGTACACTTTACTCGCTATTCGGTATGTGTCAGAGCCCACTACGTATCGAGAGGCCATGCAGTCTTCTCATGCTCATCAGTGGGCCAAAACAGCAAATTCGGAATACAAGTCCCTCATAGACAATACAATATGGGTGCTGGTACCACCACCTCAGGGACGGAGAATCCTTACAAGCCGATGGGTCTTTGAAGTGAAGTATACCGGCACAGGAGATATTGACCGCTTTAAAGCGCGTCTGGTGATTAAAGGCTTTCTCCAGGAATATGGCACTGACTACAATGAGATCTTCTCCCCAGTGATTCGAATGGAAGTCCGCCGACTCCTCCTTACGATCGCAGCCTTACTCGATCTAGATTTTCATCTGATGGATGTCAAAGCAGCATTTCGGAATGGCTTCTTGGAGGAGATCTACATGGCTCAACCGGAAGGCTTAAAAATCCCGGTAAGGATCACCTAGTGTGCAAACTTCTTAAAAGCCTGTACGGGTTGAAACAAGCCCCACGTGTTTGGTATCAGACACTATCGCTGATTTCAGCTCGCGAACGACGGCTGGTGTTGGTGCAACAATGAGAAGGTCATCAACATACATTGCGATGTAGCAAGTAGCATTGTCGCACGTACGACAGAGAACGCAGCGGTCTTTGATGAGCTTGTGAAACTCAAGACTTTCAAGGAAGGCCCCAAAAGAACAGGTTCTCCATGACCGATTCAGGGGAGGTGACGTACTTACTCGGATGGTCTATTCGACGGGACCGAAAGAACTGAAAGATCTTTATCCACCAACGCAAGTACGCTACGAAGGTCCATGACCGCTTCAGCAAATACATTCCGTACCCGATTGCAACCCCAGCAGAGAGGAACTTTAAACTTTCCTCAAGCAGTCAGCATAGCAATGATGCAGAGAAAGATGCGATGAAAGACATTCCGTATCGT